GGAACTATATTTTGCTTTAGTTGGAGTAGGTGAAAATCATATCATTGTAATTTATCTTTTCTTGTAATATGATATGTACAAGATCTTTTGTTAAGTTGTTCACCTACTATCAATGTACAAAATAGATATGCAATAAAAGGAGAAGACCGAAGCATGTATGGTCTTCATGTTCCATCTTTATGTTTATTTTCTGTTTTTTTCTCTGTTTCTGCTCTCTGCTTGTTTTTCACCTTCTGTTCCTTGCTTCTAAACTCCAACAATTTCAATGCTTTTTTCCTTTTATGAACCAAAATTTTATTGAATGTGACTACTATAAGAAGTAATCTAACCCATACATTTGATAATGCTAAATATTGACAGTTTTATCTCATAGTTTTACTTCAATGCATTTAAGAAATTATATTTAAGGATAGTAATTTATTTTATAACACGTGAAATTCCTTAAAGAATCGTCATTATAGGAACAAAAATTTTCAAAATATTTCTTTCGACCTGATGAGATAGATTTTCTTTTTGGCAAAATTTTATGGAGACAATATATAAACTCTCGTGAAAAACTGTAAATTAATAAAAATTTATAAATTATATTTTTATAAATTATAATAAACTCATATATCTCAATTTTCAAATTCATAAATCCCAACCACAAATATTTTCACTTTCACACCTCCCCTTTCTATTGCTGTTGTTCCTCCTAACCTCACTGTTTTGTTTAATGAGTTTCTCTCAATTTGTATTTAGCTTTATTTATTTATTTTTGATAGGCAAAGCTAATTTTATTTTATTTTATTTTATTCATTTTCTAGAGAAAAATACTTTGAAATAATTAGTTTTTCTAAAATGCTTTTTGAACCTTTTTTTTAAATTAAAAATTGGTTGAATCAAAATATTTTGTATATAACTAAATAAAAAAAAAAAAGAAGCATTTTTATACTCTTACGAGGATTCCCCATACCCACAGGGGATCCCTCATTCTCTGTTGAAATGGGATGGAAGGCATTTTTTTGCTTCCTGTAAAAAATCTCCGTAGAGATAACAGTCTGCCTATGGCGGAGAGCGAGATGGGGATCCCTACTTCCGAACAGACTTGTTGCCATTCCTACCCATACACGATATCCTGATTCCTGACTGCCCTTCTTTGTTAGTCCATCATGCATTTATATCTCACGGTAGAGTGAAGATAGAACATGTTTTTTGAACCTTTCTCAGTTCATTTACTGCCCAACCAACCGGTGTCAGGCCGATGCAAGTGGTTCGTTTTTGCCTTTGTCAAGATCCACTCAACCAAGTTTTAGATTAGGGTAAGAAATATTATTATTATTATTAATAAAATGATGAAGTGCAGTCCATTCTCTATAAGCCGCAATACTTTTAATCATTAATAAAAGGGTGTTCCAATATCAAGACCTTATTTTTCTATGTTGGTCTCATTATATCTTTGAATTTACTTTTGCTTCTTTTGCCATCAACAGACGATGATGATGTTAATACGGGAATAATCTTCCTGGGAATTCGATTATACATGCTGGAGCCAAGCAATAGGATGAGCAGCGAGCACTCGACAGCATTGGTGCTGCTCAGTACAAGGAACCTTGGTGGATACAAGTCAGTAAAGGAGAAGCTGGAACCTGATGCCCAGGGTCAATGAGGGAATCAATTTGAATTCTTGCATGTATCAGTACCAGAATTAACAAACTCTGAGCATGCCAATCCTCTTGAATTTGTTTGGAAAACACAGAAATCAATCAAGAGGAAAAGAACCTCAGGGGCAGTTTATCTCACTGCTCAGCTTCTGAAGACATTGATTTAAATTAGAGGCCCTGAGGTATGCTAGCAGATCATGATCATGTTTTTTCGTGGAATCTAAAATAGGGATCAAAGGGCTTTTATTTTGTCAGAGTAATTAGATTGCAAAGATAAGATTCTACTCTATATCTCCTATACAGTATAAAAAGATTTCATCAACATATTAAGAACTTTCCCACTTTTAATATGACATTTATTATGTAATTGTCAGACAGGCAGTTGCAAGATTCATCCACAAAACACTGAGCAATTCGAGCGTGACCGTCTCAAATTTGATGGACCAGCGGAAGCCATGACATTGGCTAATCATCCAGTTAAAGGCTTGTACTTTATGGTAGCTGGTGTACCTCGGGTTTGTGAAAAATTTCTTCTCTTTTTCTCCTACTTTATTCCTAAAATATACAGCTTTTTATACATTTTTTGATGACAGGATTGCAGACTCTTACCATAACTATTGTAAGTTATGTGGGAAAGCTGAGAGTTGCTGTGGGAACGGAAAAAGGCTTCATAGATGGGCAGAAGTTCAAGGCATCCGTAGAGAAGGCCTTTGATATGATATTCAGGGCTGCACTTGAAATTGGTCAGTAGACAGATAGCAAGTGAACAGAGCTTACAAACATGAATCTTTTTCAATAGGGACCATCAGCAGGCTTCCTTGCAGGTTTTCGTTCCATTTTCATAAGAGTTGTATTTAAACACCATTTTAGGTTTGGAAAGACACCTGGTATCCATCTCAGAAAAGGACTATTTCCAGAAAATCATGGGTTTCAAACAATTGAATTTCTTGTTGGAAATATTATATACTTTGATTATCTTGAATCATTGTTATGTCTAACCTGCTCGTAGGTGGTCAGTATCCTACTGCACCAAAATAACATTTCAATTCACGGGCCTCATGGGGCTCAGTTTGAAATATTCTATTTCCTGCTTGTGCTCATAGATTATCCTTTGAAACATAAAAGAGTCAATCTAGAATCGCAATACTTGCCTCTCAACCATTTTTCCATTGTTCATCAGTTGGTTCTATACCAGATGCAAGTTTTTCTAAGTGGTGCAAATATATTTGATCTGTATGAATAAGTTAATTTATGAGTGGATTGGTTAGCTTTGAAGTTTAATTTCTGAAATTCCATTATTTGTGGATCCTTCTTCCTGGATTTATGTTAGATTATCAATTCTTAAATCTCTGCATTTCATAAATAAATGATACTGTAGTTCCTTGAAGTGGAAATGTAATAGTAAATTTGAATTTGCTTTATAGTAATTTTATTAGACTTCTAGGCTTTTGGTACTTCGCTGGTTGCAGCATAGCATTTATTCTAGCATTACTCACGTAGGCTGGTTGCAGCGTAGCATTGATGGCGATCATCAATTTCTTCATCCTCCGACCGTATATGACTAGACAAATGGCTGAAAATTTAATTGTAAGGCCGACCAACATGGCAGCACCATCAAATAGTCACCTGGAGAAGAACCAAACAATTAACTTTGGAAGGGAATTGGAATTGGAAGTGATCAAGCAAAGCCATGAACTTGGATGAAGGAGGACTGGAGTCTGAGCCAGTTAGCCCGACTGGAGTGTACTTCAACAGCTCTGCCTTGTCAATATGCATTCTTTGTGTCCTGGAATTTGAAGTCCCCATTGATGACTCTCCAACCATGACATTGCTCAAGGATGTTTTTCTCCCCATCAATCCTCGCTTTTCTTCTATCATGGTATCTGCCCTACTTTTCTTTCATTTTATGTGTTTGTACAGTGTTAAGAGGATACATCTTTCAAAAATGATTAATCCAGTTTATATTTATTACATAATGATTATGTGGTTTGATGGAGTGAATTTTTTTGGTATATCTCTTAATTCAATCACCAATTTTTTGAAAGCTCTAACTGTCAATGTAGAAAAAGGCCGCTTGTGATATATGGAATGTTAAGATGGGAGAATGGTTCTTTTGATTATTATATTTTCAGATTGCTTGTGTTCATAACCTGTACTTTTTACTTTATTCTGCTTCATTGCTACCATTTCAAGAAAAAGGATGGGAAAGTGATCAGGAAATAGGACAGAGGTTTTGACTAGAAATATATTGCATGTTTTCTTATGTCAAAACATAATTCATTGCTTCAGATAACTTTCATTGACAACTTCTTGGTTATTTGTTTCAATTATGCTAATTATTGAACAATTTGAGCATACCTATACTGATGTACCTTCTGTGCAGGTTAGAGACGAAAATGGGGCGAAGCAGTGGAAGAAGGTCGAGGTAAAGCTGCAAGACCATGTAAAAATCCCTGTTTTTCCCTCTGGATTGTCACCAGAGTCCTATGACAAATATTTCACTGACTATCTTTCAAGGATAGCAATGGAGCAGCTTCCTCAGAACCGACCTTTGTGGGAAATTCACATCATAAAATACCCCACCAGTCATGCAGCTGGTAATGTGGTGTTCAAGCTTCACCACGCCCTTGGTGATGGCTACTCTCTCATGGGTGCTCTTCTTTCTTGTTTACAAAGAGCGGATGATCCTTCTTGTCCATTGACATTTCCATCACTTGGGGCAGTGACCTCTTCTGTGCCTAAAATGAACATCATTAATTCTGCTTTCAACACCCTATCAGATTTTGTTTGGACCCTTTTGAAGAGCTGTTGGTTTGAAGATGACAGATCAAGGATTCGATCAGGAAGTGTAGCTGTGGAATTTAAGCCAATGGTCATTTCTACCATTACATTCTCTCTCAATCAGATCAAACAAATCAAGACCATGCTTGGAGTTGTAAGTTAAGATTTAAAACTTTTAATTAGCTCAAGCATTAAAGATTCAATAAATGCTTCGGTCTTTTTTCCCATCTAATTCACTGATCATGCATTTATACCTCACAATAAAAAAATGTTGCATTAGAAAGACTTCCTTGGCACCTTATATTAAATGCCAGACTATAAAACCATAACCCTGGGGGTCAGCCCTACCTGTAATTAGGTGGATCCTCAGCTAATGGCTATGATTTTGAAGTTTAGTGCAGTTTGAATTGCAAAATACTATTTTGTTTACAATGTTGGTTTAATTTTTTCTTATTCTATTTGGATTTGCTGCCTTTTCTTTTGCCATTAACAGACTATAAATGATGTGATTACGGGAATAATCTTTTTTGGAACTCGATTATACATGCTGGAAATGAGCAATAAGATGAGTAATGAAGATTCTACAGCACTGGTGCTGTTCAATACAAGGAACATTGGTGGATACAAGTCAGTGAAGGAGATGATCAAACCTGATCCTAATCACCAATGGGGAAACCAATTCGGATTCTTGCATATATCAATACCGGATTTGACAAGCTCCGAGCATGCTGATCCACTTGAATTTGTTCTGAAAACACAGAAATCAATCACAAGGAAAAGAAGCTCTGGTGTGGTGCATCTTACTGCTCAGCTTCTCGAGGCTGTGAAGAAATTTAGGGGCCCTGAGGTACGCTACCTGATCATATTCGTCATATTTTTACATGAAAGAAATAATTCTAGTGGCAGTTAAAATAGCTGTTAAAGGGTTTTCTTTTTGTCAAAATGATTGGATTGTTAAGACGAGATTTGATTCCACATCCTTAATACAATGTCAAAACATTTTTTTTTTTTGTGGGAAGTAGAGAAATATATTAAGTACTAATAAATTATAGTAGAATCTCCATCTCATAACATATAACCAAAATTAGAATAACCTAACGATAGAATCAGAAGCATAACCTACAACACTAGTAACAAACTTAAATTATGCTCATAATGGATATAAACAATTAAGAAATGAGAGTTATCTGGAACTAGGAATTGAATTTACAATCGTTGTATGGGCTAAATAGGGCTATTAATGTAGAAAGGAGAGTCATTATGAGCATTAAGAATTGTTGGGCATCCTCACCTATTTAACCAGTTTCTTTGGGAGAACAAGGGATTCCGGCATCAAATAGTCCCTAAGCTACAAGTTGCCGTCTTGCTTGTTCTTAAAGAAGAACAACCAACAGGGGTATAGACCTTCTCCTGACAAGCACAAAGCCCCCCAGTTGCCTCCGTATACTCCTAATCATATTCTCATCTTTGCCAATTCTCTTCAAACCCATGTTGTTGAAACTCATCAAGGGAACTAAAGTCCCTTTGCCAGCTTGAAAATCAGGCTTCCCAAGTTGACCATAGCTGGCCTTACCAACAACATCATTTTTCTTCAACAATCGGCTAGCTAATTGGGAACTGATGTGAACCAAATTCGCTGAATTCAACCCTCACCAAGATCCCATTTGAGGAGATACACCAAAGTGAGATTTTTGCCTATTAAATAGAAGAAACCACCTTCATCGGCAAGATCAATTCCAATCACAGCTTTCAAAAATCAATAGATGTAAACCCTAAAAAACCCAAAAAGTTGCTACCTTGTGGTCCCTTGGGTTGGAGTTTCCAAAGCAAGACAGTGACAAGATGAAGGAGGAGATCAAGAGGAGGAAGGGGTAAGAAGAAAGGGGGTATGAAGGAACTCTTTTGCCGGAGAGAAACCTTAGGGAGGGAAACTTGCCGTCATTGCTTTCAACCCTAAAAGCAGTGCACGGGAGAAACCTTAGGGAAGAAAACCCACCGCCATTGCTCTCAACCCTAGAAGCAGTGTACGAGAGAAACCCTAGGAAGGAGAAACCTTAGGGAGAGATTGCTATAATGTCAAAACATTAAATTAACTATAATTTATATAGGCACATTTATATTGTTAAAATGGCTCTTAAAATGGATGCAATTATCACAATAGGCAGCTGCAAGATTCATCCACAGTACACTGAGGAACTCTAGCATGACCATTTCGAATGTGGTTGGACCAGTTGAAGCAATGACATTGGCTAATCATCCAGTCAAAGGCTTGTACTTTTTGACACTTGGTTCACCTCAGGTTTGTTGCATTTTTCTTATCTTTGTTCCCTATCTTACTCCGGTTCCATTTTTTTTGGCCATTGTATTCCAGTTCCATTACTCATGTCAAATATAGAGTTTTTTAGACAACTTTTTTTAAACTTAGGGGCCCTCAGGCTTGTACTTAATGACATTTGACAATCTCGAATTGCAGAGTCTTACCATATCAGTTTTAAGTTACACGGGAAAGCTAAGAGTTGCTGTAGGAACAGAGAAAGGCTTCATAGATGAGGAAAAGTTCAGAGTTTCCATAGAGAATGCCTTTGATATGATATTCAAGGCTGCCCTCAGAACTGATCAACAGGTGAAGACAGAAGACCACAATATCGAAGCATAGGGAAAAACATGTAATACTATCTATTGTCCGTTATTTTTGTCTGTTACCGGTGGATATTCGAGTTTTTAATCTTGTCATTAGAATCAAGACTCTTTAAGTTTTAACATTAGTTTTAAGGCTTGGAACCTCACCATGTAGAAGGAAAAGCCCGCAGGTGTGGTTAATAATTTTTGTTACAACTAGACCTCAAGGTGTGTTTTGTGCATTTTGTTTGCATTGAATTTGATTAGGTGTTTTTTAAATATAAATTTTTTATTAATAATTAATTAAATATATATTAAATTATTTTTTAATTATTGATTTTAAAAATAATAATACATAAAAAATTTGAATTGTAGATATAAAAAAAATTTTAAGTGAAATAAAATGAATCTCTTAATTTTAAAAAATAACAACAATTTTTCTTAAAAAGAATTTTTAAAAATTTAGAGTGAGTACATTTTGTTATATTTTCATCTCTATCGACAACAAGATAGGCAGCAAATGCGGTCCTTGATTCAGGACTTCCACCCACTAAGATTCTCCTTCGATTTGGTTGCCAGATAATAGATTACCAGGCAATACACAACGCGTGGGCTTTGGTTGGTGGCAGCAACGTTTGATCTAGAAACCACCCACCCTTGTAACTTGTGCGCACGTGTAGTGCGCCGGGAAGGAGTGGTTGGGGGTCCCATAATATTCAGTTTTGATTGCGGAACTTGTGGACGGCTGCTGATCCGTGATGGCTGATGATCGGTACTCGGATTCCAGGGATGGATTGAAGTCTGGGGCAAGGGAGGCTCTCGGGGAAAGAAGGCAGACCAGGGAGGACGAATGCGGAGGGGACCAAAAGGGGTACTCGGTTTCTTTTTAAGGAATTTTAAAGACATCACTCTAAGGACTCCAATGATGTGCGGTTTGTTCAAGAACAACATATGGCCACATAAAAGAAGGAAAAAAAACAACATATAAAAGACATGGAGATGGAGATGCTGTGTGGCTGCACCAAGATGGCTTTTTTAGCTCAGAGCGTGATTGGGGAAGAAGGATCCATAATTTTTTTGGGTTAAAGCCAACTATAGTCCCTGTACTTTCAATTGTCGTTCATTGTCCTCCCTTTACTTCAAAATCATTCGAAGATCTTCCTCTACTGTTCCAAAACACATTATTATCCTCCTTCTACTTTTAAGTTTTCATACTATTTACCTCCCTCATTTAACACCCAGCTAACACTTAGTACTAACAGTCATCTAAAGGATTTTTTCACCATTAAACCTTTACCCATCCATTATTATTTTTTGGTTGAATTTCAATTAGTTGGCCCTACTAATTCCATATCAATAACCCTGTTTACACCCATTTTTGCAAAAAAAATAGAATGGTGCCTCTTGTTATCCATGTTAGCAGGTATTTCATTAGTTGAAAGTTGTTTGTGTAAGTATCTCTAGATAAGGGTCAGTGGTTATTTCCACAACGGCAGTGAAGTCGTTCACTTGTTGTGAACTTCCAAGAGCATAATCGGTAGCACCAATAGATAATCTATTTGTTGTAGATTTCACGCTGCGATTGGTTTTCAAGATGCTGCCACAGATTTCTACCAAGCTGCCAAGGTGCTATAAATGCCCAATGATGAGATTAAGCAAAGAAAGACCGGCCTCTCACACAACTAACCTAGTGTTATCTACATTTCAGTTTCACAAGCAATGCTCTCGTTTAGATCTAGCTTTCTCAAATAGCTTTCCTAACTTAGTCTTTAACTCTACGCTACCATTAGTTTTAGCTTTAGTTTTTGTTATTTTGTTGTGAACATCTCTACTTGATGTATTTAGTTTTTTGCAATTCAATTTATTGCGCTTTGCCCTAAGTTCATCTTCCTAGCTCTTTTTAAGTTCGGTATTACGCTTTAGCATTTATTTCATTTTTTACACTGTTATACTTTTGCGGCAACATCACACTTCCTCTCTGCAATTTAGTTTTTTGGCCATGCACCATCTTTCTTTTCTTTTCTTTTATTTTTCTCTTTTATTTTGATCAACAAACTAACATTTTGGCCCTAGTTGTGGGAAGTCCCTGATGTTCTTCCAGGGCAATCATTTATGGACCTTTATACAGGAATGCACCCCCATTTCTGTGACAATCGTTTGACTAAGGCACATCTCATGATTTATTTACCGGTGCTCTTCCATTGACTTGCAATCGAGTTTCATGCTTGGAAGTAGTAAGGGTTGCCAAGAATCCCTCTTTCTCACTTTGAGCAAAGTGAGTGGCACATCTTCGCAATCTTATCTGCCACATTATCGGAAAGGGAGATTTTGGAGACAACAATCTCTTTTTGGCACGCCTGGTAGGACCCACCTTGGGTTTTCACAAGTTTGTTAATCATATCTTTTACTGTTAGATTGTGCCATGGCATGTTTTTACTCTAGTGATTGCCAAAAGCTCTTAATGACTCCACCACATACTGCCTTTTATGTCAATCCACTCTATGGTGAGGAGGCAACCACAAGTAGTGAGCTTTCAAGATCTCTCAATAAAATAATAGCTGATTTGATGAGAAATCTACAAGGCTTCATGAGGAACGAAAGAGGAATTTAGAGGAAGGTTGGAAAGGATGCAAATTAAAAGGAAATCTTCCAGAACTTAAAACCCCTCAACCCAAAAGTGAGATCTTAATGAAGGATTCCAAGAAGCGCCATGCAGCCACATCTCCAAGAACTCTGATGCAATTTTGCAAATCACAAAATGTGACAAAGATGCCAACTGTAAATGAAGGTTAGACGACACTAGGGCCAAAGAGTAACCCCACGATCACACTTGGGGGGCATGAATCACACTTGCAGTGTGCTGTCCAAATTTGGCAACTCCATGCAACTTTGGAGGCAACTTCAACAAGTATGCTTCCAAGTTATTCTATGTTTATAAAGACTAATAGCAATAGTCCTCCTACTCTTAGGAGGCATAAACCAGCTCAGCTGCAGACATGTTAACCATCCATTAATCAAGGTCCAACATCAATACATAATTTTGATAAGGTGTCCAACTCATCTATTTCTACTTCTTTTGAGACTAATGAGCATGTTCCTTTTGCGTTACTTAAGAAGTGTTTGTAGTGACCATGCTTTCTTAATGGTTAAAGCCCTTCCAAGTTCAATTATGGACAATGGCTGAATGTGAAATGTCCTTTTAAAGTCGTTAGTTTGAAGAGGGGAGTTATTTCTAGTCTTGGGGGGCAACCTAGTCAAATTAAACAACAAAGGTTGCAAGACCTTATTGCTAATGAAGTTCAAAAAGCTACAGAAAAAAAGACAGCAAGGTTTGTGCCATTACAGCCTGATGCCAATTCAAGCATCCAATTAATGCTGCCACAACAAAAGCATGTGTGCAAGCCTAATTTGCCTCAACAACTTGCAGACTCGTTGTCAAAGGACACTCAAGAGACATGTAGGCCACCATGTTGTCCAACATGTTGTAGGCCATATTTAAAGAATAATGATTCTTTTCAAAGTGGCTTTCACAAAAGATCCTTGTACTTTCCTCCCAAATGCAAGGACAACATGGGAGGCAACATGATAAACACCATGCTTCCTCATCTGCCAAGTCAAAGAAGGAGGAGGAAATCTAAAGACCTTTACTAGATATCGAAGAAGGAACAAAAGCAATAGACCCATATCTTTGAATGGAGGCACGGGGGGCATGATCAAGCATTCAAGCATGGAGGCATGGGTAAATGTTTATAAACAAAATCAATTTAGACATGCAAATAAACTTGGTGGCCCACCTAGAGTTCCTTATGCAAAATCCTATTACTCTTTGAAGGCAACTTCAAAAGAAACGAGGTAAAGAGCGTTAGAGGCATGCTGTTGCCAAGGTGCACATTTCCTAAAGACAACAACCTCCAGGGAGGCAAAGGTTGATCTAGGTGGAGAAGAGGAAACATAATGCAACCTTTCAAAAGGTAAATCAGAATTTAGTCAATGCAATCGCATCTCCAAAAAAATTTGCCAAGTGTGTTTCTCTCAAGTCAAATGACTTAAAGGTGGCTAAAGGGCTTAACATTTGTAGCAAAATAATTAGCCTTGGTGAGTTTAGTATTGAACTTCCAAGTTCCATTTTGAATCTCCCTTTTGTTTTCACAAGGAAGCAAGATGCAGCCTCTATTAGTAAAGAGGCAACAAAGAACAAAGTAAACATATCCACCAAAGAGGACAAAAAAAGGGATCATAAAAAGGACATAAAAGCTTTTGTCAGTATTAGAGGAGGCATGCTGCCAGCAAGAGGCATGTTGTCGTCAACAAGAGGCATGCCGTCGTGGAGACATTCTGCCAGCAATATGAAATCTTTGCAAATACACAAGGCATTAGATGAAGGCATATACTGGTTAAAGAACCTTGACGGTAGTCTGCACCTCACAAAAATAAATGGCTTACCTTTTTAGCCATGTTGCCTTTCAGTTTGTAAGTCATGTAGTAGATCGAAGTGGAAATAATCTCTTTGCTCAGGTTGGATGAAGATCAGTTTTAATTTAGTTTTCATTTTTAATTTTCTACAATTAGTGTGAATAATCTTGCAATTAGAGCAACCTTAATGAAGGCTGTGAGATAGCATTGTTCCTAAGGCACTATGCTTTTTGTGGAGGCATGCTTGACTTATGTCTCTATGTCAGCCAATAGAGGGAATTCATAGAATTGTTCTTTTTGGAGGCTATATTTTTTCCATTTTTGCAGACACAAATTTAGTTGGCTTATTTCTCTATGAAGCCACTATGTCTGTCAGATGATATTCCATGCTATGCTGAAGAAAACAACAATCTCAAATTTCTATATTCTTGGAGACATCATGCTTCCTTTACAATGGCCACATGGC